ACCTCGAGTTTTTGCGAAAACAGTTGTTTCACTGTAGAGCGGAGAGTTTTGACCTAAAGAAACAGCTTAATAACGCGTACCGCGGCCGCGCGTGGTCCGCGTGGCAGCACTGCGCCGCCAGTCCCGCGCAGATGTCCGCCTATTACAACTACACCCCTGGCAGCACGTGCCCGCCCGTAACAGTTTCGGTTACCAGCGAAGCTAGTGGCGGCTCCCGCGCATTTGAGAATGGTATGGCGCAGCCGCCGCGGCAGCAACTTCAGGGAGAAATTCAGGAACAGCAACAGAAGCAGCGCTCAGAGCAGTCAGGCCAGTCAGGCCAGTCAGGGCTAGCACGTGAACAGTGGGAGCTGCCGCCGAGCTCTAGACTAGACGAGGCTTTGCTCTTCGACGCGCGATGCCTCGACCTCCCCCGCCGCGCATGCTTCTCCGATTCCTCTCCTCTCTCGCCCTCCATCGCCGCAACTACCGCCGCGGACATGGTTTCGGGGGACGCCACGGTTGCCACCGCAGCCGGTGGATCTGCCGAGCCGCCGTTGCGGGAAGCGGCGAGGTGGACAATTCCCGACGCGAGGAGCATAGCGTGGGAACCGTACGGCCCGTGCCGCGACTGGGAGTGCCTCATGGAGCAGGAGGAGCAGGCCGAGCGCGCCTGGCGCGGAGATGGGGATGCCGGTGGCGTTGGTGGTGGCGGTGGTGGTGACGATGGCGGGGGTAGTGGTGGCGATGGTGCAGGCGTGACCAGGGGGGATTTGGCAGGGGAGGGGATGTTGGGTGGGGTGGAAGGCGGGGAGGCGGAGGGTTTGGAGATTGGACGGTTGGGGTTGCCTGCTGCTGTGCGCGGGTGTTTGGTGTCGTGCTTTAACCTGTCCAAGGCCAGGGAGAGAGGAGCTCGTGGAGCATACGGGGGCTACAGTGGTTTTGCGGAGGGTTCAGGGCTGTATGTGCAGACAGTGCCGGAAGGGGCAGCAGCAGCAGCAGCAGCAGCAGGAGAAGCAGCAGCAGGGGCAGCAGCAGGGGCAACAGGAGCAGCAGGGGCAGCAGCAGCAGGCGCGTGGGGGATGGATGCGGTGTTGGCAGTGAAACCACCAGGAGGTATTCGAGTGGGGGTCGACATCGGAGGGGGCACCGGGAATTTCGCTGCACTCATGGCAGACCGGGGCGTTACGGTGGTTACCACTGCGTCCAACCACGGTGCCCCTGTAATGGAAGTGCTAGCACACAGAGCCCTCGCAGCCCTTCACCTCCCTCCCACCGCCCGCTTGCCTTTGTCGGACTTGTCGTTAGATTTGATTCACTGTGCGTTTTGGCCGGCAATGCTCGCACACCCGCCGGCATTGGAGTCTGTTTTGTATGACTGGGACCGAGTGCTCCGCCCTGGGGGGCTGCTGTGGCTGGAAATGGTGCCTTTTTCCCGGCCGTTGATCCGGAAGATCCTGGCCGTTGCTGAGGTGGCGCAGTGGAAGAAGCTGAAGTGGGCGAAGGTGGTGGCTGGTGGGGGGAGTGGAGGTGGGGGAGGGAGTGGAGTGGGGGGTAGTGGAGGGGGAAGTGGTGATCATGGGCCTTGGTTGCTGAATGTGCTGTTTGAGAAGCCTATGAAGAGAGTAAGGGAGGAGAGGAGGGCAATTGCTGTGATGAGTTGAAGGCTAGGTTGAAACGTGAACGGGGTTTTCTCTGTGGCTGTGTTGTGTACAGAGGATGCCTAGTGGCATGTGACACCAAGGAAATATCAGCAGCTGATGCATCATGAGGTAGCTTGCGATACCCTGCTTTGTTTATCGTCGTGCTATTGTAGCCAAGCTTCCAAGTTAGGCAATAAATGATTAGTGATCTAGCTATGTTTGGCAACCGTGTTTATGATAGATGTCTGCTCTATTGCGTAGAGTGTATAGCATTACTCGCACAATTGGAAAACCGTTGCACCGACATTTTTTTCCTAGTCGCATCGTTTGCGGTCAGCTTGTTCTGAACTAAACTAGAACGTGGACGATTCCTACGGCGTAACATAAAATTTTGGCGGCTTCTGGGGACAGCTGCTTCGGAAATTCATGTTGCGTTGCTGCCCGGCCTTCTGCCCTCCCTCTAGCGTGAATTCCAAGCGCAGCGAAACGACAGGCCGAACGTGCATCAAGAAATTTGTGCACGACCACACTGGAAATTTTGAAAGAATCACATCACATCTTCCCCCCTCGCCAAAACCTCGAGAGCGGAAGGGCGAACTGGGCGAGGTTCGACCTACCGCCAATTGCGGAGAGTAGAATCTGTGGCAGAGCCAAGCCGCATTTCTAAAAAATTCCGGGCCGCATCTTGCGATCCGCCAAGCTCCACAATTGACGCCAGCTACATTGACGAATTGCGCAAATTTGGAATCCGCTGGAGGGGGAGAGAAGAGAGATAGAGACGAGGGAGAAAGACCGTTTCTCCCATCAAGAAATGGCACCATTGCTGCCCTGCCCTTCCTTTCATTCTCTCCCCATCGGCACACCCCTTCGAAATGCTGCTTCCCGACACTCCAACCAAACCAAACAGAGGTGACATACGCAAGCCACTCAAACACAATCAACAAGCACGTCACTTCCGGAGCTTACAAGCCAGTCTTGTCCGTCCCGTTGCAGCGCCCTCATCGTGTTGCTACTCAGCTTTCCGATAGCTCCACTCCTACCTCTCATTTCACCATAACGAAATTTTAGACGACTTACCTCCAGCTACCATCCTTCTCTGTAGCGCAAAATCAGGCCAGAATCTACCTCGTTGTTGGTTGTTCTTTGAAGTAACGGTTTGAGAAATTTAGTCACCTTGTATATCCGCAGAAAGAATCTCAGCTGCATGTCGAAACGGTGACTCGTCGAATGGATTGTCCAAACCTCAGTCCAGCGTTTTCGAGCGGAAATAGCAAATCGGTTAGCGAGGTCGCTTATAGCGACCCTTCGATCAGTCCCCCAACCTCCCAGTTTACTTCCTCCGCCTCCACAACCCCTCCGGAGTCCCCTTTCGGCGCGGATGGGCCCAGACATAGAGGATCTAGAACCACTTCATCTGAGAGCAATGACGTCGGGAACGATCGTTCTGTTACCTCGTGCGACGAGCCGTGCAACCAGTCGCTCTCGCCCCCGTCCGCGGAGCGGCGACGTCGTAGGTTTCGCACGTCGTTCGTCACGCAAGCGGACGCCTTGTTTCGCAAGAACGTCGCATACCAGCGCCGCAACTGGGGCACGAATGCATGCATCGTCAGCCTCCCCGCCCTCCTATGCATCGTTCTACAAGCCCTCCAAATCCTACTTGATAACGTTATGATGTCAACCTACAAATGCGGATGCGGCTGTCCCAAGGAATTCAGGCTACCTGATTCCACCTGCCCACCTGAGAAAATCACCTGCGGCCCGGAGTACTCCACCGCGTCGCAGATGCCCTTCTGCGCCGTCCCCGCGCCGCCCATGTGGCCGGCGTTTGCGCAGGTGCCGCCGAATGCGGCCAGAGCAGCCGCTCCGCCCGGGGTGGGCGCTTCGTTGGGGCTTCCGCCAGCCACGTGTCGGTCTGAGGGTGGCCAGAGCTGTCCTACGGTGATTCTATACACGGGACAAAATCGAACCGCTGCTGAGGGTAACTTCCTCCGAGTACCCCCTGAGTTCGTCTCTTTTATGTTTTCTTAGCCCCTGAGTTTTGTATAGTCTGTAGTGTTCTTTACACCGCTATCTTCTTCCCTCGCAATTCCCAGTTCATTTTCCAACCCGCCCCCTTCCCCCCTGCTCCCTTCCCGCCCCATATTCCATCCCGCAATCCACGTCAGCAATGGCGTCACTTCTCGTACCTGACGTGCTCTACACGTCACTTAGGTCTGTCCGGAAACATCCAAGCACTTTCCTCTCCACGAATGATACCGTGGCTGTCGCCACATCTCACGCTAACCCTCTTCCGCCAACCACCTCGGTCTCCGCTCCGCCTCTGTCCGTCCCCGTGGGCGGAACAAAGCCGCTGCTTCGCGGACAATCTGGAGGATTGGCGGAGACTCTCTCCGCGCCGGGGCTGGGAGGGGCGCAACCCACGGGGGGAAGCGGGTCTGTTGCGGGGATGGCGGAAGCCGTTGGGGGAAAGGGGCAGGGGAACAGGGGAAGGGGGAGGGGAAGGAGGCAGGTGGCGAAGCACGACGTGCGAAAACGCCTGAACGAAATGGTTACAATAGCGGGAGTGGAGAACGCAGTATCGCGGATGCCAAAGAGGCAGAAAAGAACAGACGCACGAAATCTGCAACACATCAGCATAATCAGGGGCAACAGCAGGAGCAGCCGTAGCAGCGTCACCAGCAGCAGCTGGTTTAGCGATTCACACAAGGAGAAACAGAACGGCCAGGAACCGGGATTCCGGAGATTAATTCGGGAGCGGAAAACACGCAGCTACAACAAACAGAAACAGCAGCGCAACACGACAGCCGGGTACTGGGTCCCGTCGTACGTATACGACCTGTCCCAGGTAACACCTGGAACGGCAACCTACCCCGGATGGAGTCTGTTGCTGGAGGAGGCGGTGTCGCCCGTGGGGTGGCAGGCCAACTCGTCGCTGCTGCTGCTGCTGCCGCAGTGCCGCGGGAATATGCGCGGCTTCACGGTCAACGCGACGCTTGCCGATGCTATCACGCTCCCCGTCCGTAAGTGATGTGCCCATACTGATGTTGCCACCCTTCCGTGCGTAAGTGATGAGAGGCATTCATTAGCAGTGCCGCGGGAACATGCGCGGCTTCACTGTCAACGCGACGGTCGCGGATGCTATCACGCTCCCCGTCCGTAAGTGATGTTTACGGCGTTTTGTGGGTAGTGTTGTGGTATCCTGTTGGGTAGTGTTTATGACTTCTGCGAATTCTCCAAGTTGCTCCCTCTTCTACCCCTCACCCGCGATTCACCCTCCCCTCCCAACCCCTCCCAACCCCTCCCAACTCGTCCCATCCCCTCCCCTCCACTCCTTTCCCCCCACCATCTCTTTCTCGTCATATCTGCTCATTGTAACAGGAGTGGAGTGCGTAGATGTAGACACGGTGTGGCGGGACACGCAAACGGATATCGACTCAGAAGTGTATGCAGGCCACTATCAGGCGAATCCTGAGCAAGCCACTAACGCGTACACAGCAGCCTTTGACTTCCAGGACACGGGCCCGACTCGTTATAACCCTGTGATTCAGTATAACTCGTCGTACAACAACGCCAGTATCGGCGGCACCCCCGCCACGCTCCTCCGCTTCGCTCGCCTCCTTAACCTCGCCTCAAACGCGTTTATCAAGTCCTTCCATAGCGGGGATGAACTAAACACTGCTTCTGCACCAGCAACAGCACCAACACCAGCAGTAGCACCGGCAGAGATTCCTTTGCTATTTGTCAAAGACTTTCCAAAAGTGGAAACCACGTTGGGCGTGGACTTTGTATCGCTCCTCGGCCCTCTCTTTTACATGTGGGTGCTGCAGCTGCTCCTGCCAGTGATGACCGTGGCACTGGTGTACGAGAAGGAGCAGCAGCTGAGGATAATGATGCGCATGCATGGGCTCAAGGACGGGCCGTACTGGCTCGTCTCGTACCTCTACTTCCTCCTGCTCTCCCTCGCCTATATCTTCTTCCTTGTCGCCTTCGGGTCGCTCATCCGTACGTTCCCCCTCTCCCCCTCTCCCCCCTCGTACTCACCCCGTGCACTGCATGCCAACACTCTTCACTTCCTCCTGCTCTCCCTCGCCTATATCTTCTTCCTTGTCGCCTTCGGCTCGCTTATCCGTACGTCGTGGGAAGGTCTTTGTAGGTGGATTTTGAGTCGCTTATCCGTACGTTTTTTTGGTAAGTTCCCATGATCTGCTGTCGGTGCTGCTGTTGTGCGGAATGAACATCTAGTTCTGGTGCTTGGCGTGGGGACAGTGGGAGGGTAGAGGGGCAACACCCAGACAATCGCTCCACCCTCTACCTTTCCCCCCTCACTTCATCACACAGCTCAAACCACTTCATCACTTCAGCACACAGCTCAAACCACTTCATCACTTCAGCACAGAGCTTATTTTTGAGTCGACTCAAAAATACAATCTCTCCACCTTGGACGTCCCTCTACCTTTCCCCAGAGCTCAAACCACTTCATCACTTCAGCACACAGCTCAAACCACTTCATCACTTCAGCACAGAGCTTATTTTTGAGTCGACTCAAAAATACAATCTCTCCACCTTGGACGTCCCTCTACCTTTCCCCAGAGCTCAAACCACTTCATCACTTCATCACACAGCTCAAACCACTTCATCACTTCATCACAGAGCTCGAATCCTTCACGCTCAACCCATACGGTCTACAACTTCTCCTCTACATCGTGCCAGCCAACACACAAATCTTATACTCATCCCTTCCCCATTCACCCACCCTCCCACCTTCTCCCGCAGAGCTGAAGTGCTTCACCCTGAACCCCTACGGCCTACAGCTCCTCCTCTACATCGTGAGCGCCAACACACAGATCGCACTCGCCATGCTGCTCTCTACAGCCTTCGCCCACACGCGCCCCGCCACCGCCACCACCTACCTCTACGTCTTCACATCAGCGCTCCTCGGCCAGTTCCTCTACCGCAATCTGCTTGAGTCCGGCTCCTACTCAAGTGAGTATCGTGGAATTCCTTCCTTTTCTTTGGCGCCTTGCCACACGCACCCCCCCACCGCCGCCACCTACCTCTACGTCTTCACCTCTGCACTGCTCGGCCAGTTCCTCTACCGCAATCTGCTTGAGTCCGGCTCCTACTCTAGTGAGTATCGCGGAATTCCTTCCTTTTCTTTGGCGCCTTGCCACACGCACCCCCCCACCGCCGCCACCTACCTCTACGTCTTCACCTCTGCACTGCTCGGCCAGTTCCTCTATCGCAATCTGCTCGAGTCCGGCTCTTACTCCAGTGAGTATCGCCATCCCATGGCCAGGGATGAGGTGAGTACAGGGCCCTTCTCTGGTGGTGACACGAATTTTTTGTCGGCTAGAAAAATGAGTCGTGCTCTGACTCAAGTGAGCAACGCCAGAGAACACGGGCCTTCTATTGTTCTATGTCTTCGCCTCTTCCCAGCGTTCGCCCTCTATCACAGCGTTCGCCCTCTATCACAGCGTTCGCCCTCTATCACAGCGTTCGCCCTCTATCACAGCGTTTATGAGCCTGATTTACTCCCTTTTCCTCCTCTTCCTTCCTTCCTTCTCCCCTCCCTTCTCCTCTCCCTCTCACCCCTCACCCCAGCCACATTCATGACTGCTCTACAGCTCTTCCCAGCGGTCATGCTCAACCACGGGGTATACGAGTTTACTCTATCCCTCTCATTTCCCTTTCCTCTCTCCCTCTCTTCTTCCGCCCCACCTCCTTCCTTCCCTCCCCCAGCCACATTCATGACTGCTCTACAGCTCTTCCCAGCATTCATGCTCAACAACGGGGTATACAATCCTTGGTCTCACTCCTTCCTCCTTCTCCCTTCCTACTCCCCCCTCTCTCCCTCCCACCAGCCACATTCATGACTGCACTGCAACTCTTCCCAGCGTTCGCACTCTACCACGGGGTATACGAGTTAACTCAGTCGTCTTTAATAGGCTCCTACCAGGCCTCTCAGGGCACTCTCACCTGGGCCACCGCCGCCACCAATGGTTACCTGACAGGTGTCGTGATCCTGGCCGTCGAATGGCTGGTGTTCCTGCTGCTCGCGATCTACCTGGATCAGGTGGTTTCGGCGGGTAGTGGGGTGAGGAAGCATCCTCTCTTCTTCCTCCGCAGGTGCAAGAGCGGCTGCCGGAAGCTTCTTGGCTCGCTTAAGAAGGTGCTGCAAAGCTGCAGGCTTGGAGGGGACGCCCGGGTGCATGCGGCCTTCCAGGAAGGTTCCTGGAGAAATGAAGAAGGAAAGGAGTGGAAAGCAGGGGCGGCGGGGAGTGGGAAGGCGGAGTGGGGGGAAGGGGAGGTGGGAGGAGGTGTTGTGGGCGCGGGGCATGGGACAGACGTGGGGGAAGAAAAGGAGAAGGCGAAAGGGTGTTTGGACCGATTTGATGTGGATCTAGAGGTGAGCGCTGATGGGGTGAGGTGTGTGAGTAGAGGAATTATGAGGTGAGTGCTGCGATGAGGTGAGTGCTGCGGTGAGGTGAGTGCTGCGGTGAGGTGAGTGATGAGGTGAGTCGCTCGAGGGGAGTGGCATGCTGGGGCCGAACGGGGCGTGGGGGGAGTGCTTGGGACTCAACCATCTCTCCTCTCTCCTCCCACCACCCTCCCTCTGCCCCTTGTCCATCCCCCCCCCACAGAAGCGCAAAGTGCAGCATCTCCTGCACACCGGCACCACACCCGACCCCTCAGCACACCACAGCATTCTCTGTGCCGGCCTCTCCAAGGTCTACCCCAGCAGGGACGGCGGGGCGCCCAAGGAGGCAGTAGCCGGCATGTGGCTGGGGGTGGCGCGAGGGGAGTGCCTGGGCGTGCTAGGGCCGAACGGGGCGGGCAAGACAACAGCGCTGCGCATGATGATGGGGTTTTTGCAGCCCAGTGGAGGGACGGCGATTATCGAGGGCATGGGGATTGCCGAGGAGATGGACAGCATCTATTCGATCATGGGCGTGTGCCCGCAGCACGAGTGAGTTTAGTGCGGTTGAGAGTGGTTTGGTGCGGCTTTGGTGTGGTTTGAAGGGCGTGCTTGGGCACTCTGGGGGCGAACGGGGCGGGCAAGACGACGGCACTGCGGATGATGATGGGGTTCCTGCAGCCCAGTGGGGACACGGCGGTTATCAAAGGCATGGGGATTGCGGAGGAGATGGACGGGATTTACTCCATCATGGGCGTGTGCCCGCAGCACGAGTGAGTCTTGTTTGACTGTCGTGAGTGTGGTTCGGAAGGGTTGAGAGTGATTTGGGGTTAGCCTGGTGTGGTTGGATGTGCGTGTGGACGAACCTTAGAGGGCATGGGGATGGGACCTACTCCATCATGGGTGTTTGCCCGCCGCACGAGTGAGTCTAGGGTGGTTGAGCGTGGTTTGGAGGGGCTTTGGTGTGGTTTGAAGGGAGTGCGTGGGCGTGCTGGGGCCTAATGCTTGTTTGCCCTCCAGCAAGACTGAGGACGCGGTAAAAGTGCTCGGCTGGGGGGAGATCGATCCGGTCACCGCACTGAAACCCCGCGTTTTGCATACGAAAGATACACAACCGTTTATAACCGTGCTAAAAAACGATCCTGAGGCGATCGATTCTCCACTTTAACCGCGTCCTGAGTTTCTCTCTCTCTCCATTCCCTATCCCTTTTCCTGTCTCAGTCGTTCAATCACATCTCCTTTCCTCCCTACACTGCCCCATAAGTTCATCCCTTTTCTCCCCTTTCCTTCCCCCTCACCCCTCCCTCGTTCCTATCCTCTCCCCCCTCTTCCAGCCTCCTATGGGAGCAGCTGACCGGTCGAGACCACCTTCTCTTCTACGGGCGGCTCAAGAATTTGCATCACTCTCAGCAGCCGTAGAGGCATCCTTATCAGGAGGGCACCTACTGAGAGAGGCAGACAAGCCAGTGCAGCAGTACAGTGGCTGCATGAAGCAGCGGCGGTCAGTCATTTTTAACATCTCTTACTGGAGGCCCTCTTACCCCTCCCCCCTTCCTCTTCCTTCCTCTCTCTCCCCCTCCTACCAGCCTTCTATGGGAGCAGCTGACCGGTCGGGAGCACCTCATGTTCTACGGCCGCCTGAAGAACCTGCGAGGCTCAGCAATAACATCAGCCGTGGAGGCCTCCTTATCAGGGGTCCACCTACTGAAAGAGGCCGACAAGCCAGTGCAGCAGTACAGTGGCGGCATGAACCCATCCTCTCCTTTACCCTTCCTTCCTCTCTCCCCACCCTCACCACAGCCTTCTATGGGAGCAGCTGACCGGTCGGGAGCACCTCATGTTCTACGGGCGGCTGAAGAACCTGCGAGGCTCAGCACTAACATCAGCCGTGGAGGCCTCCTTATCAGGGGTCCACCTACTGAAAGAGGCCGACAAGCCAGTGCAGCAGTACAGCGGCGGCATGAAGCGGCGCCTGTCGGTCGCTATATCGCTTATCGGAGACCCTCTTGTGGTGTACATGGACGAGCCCAGCACGGGGCTCGACCCCTCGTCCAGGATGCACCTGTGGAACGTGGTGAAGCGGGCAAAGAAGCACTGTGCAATCGTGCTCACGAGTGAGTGTGTGTGAGACAGGCTAGCGTCTCTGAATGTGGGGAGGGAGAGGGGGGGAGGGGGGGGGGGGGTGTTGGACTCTGGTACATGGACGAGCCCAGCACGGGGCTGGACCCCTCGTCGAGAATGCACCTGTGGAACGTGGTGAAGCGGGCGAAAAAACACTGTGCGATCGTGCTCACGAGTGAGTGGTTGTCAATGCAGGGTATTGGGTAGGTCTTACATGGGGGGTTGCGTGGGGTTGTTGTGTACATGCACGAGCCCAGCACGGGGCTGGACCCCTCATCCAGGATGCACCTGTGGAACGTGGTGAAGCGGGCTAAGAGACACTGCGCTACTGTCTTGACAAGTGAGTGGTTGTCAAAGGGAAGCTGTTGGGTGGGCCTGTGGATGGAAGCAGGTGCTTCCCTCTTGTGGTCTACATGGACGAGAGCCCAGCACGGGGCTGGACCCCTCGTCGAGAATGCACCTGTGGAACATGGTGAAGCGGGCTAAGAATAATCGTGCAATAGTGCTCACGAGTGAGTGGGGTTGTGCTAGCTTGTGGCATGGTGGGCGGGGGTGTGTGTGTACATGCATGAGCCCAGCACGGGGCTGCTAGACCCATCGTCCCAGATGCATCTGTGGAACGTGGTGAAGCGAGCGAAGAAACAGTGTGCCATTGTGCTTACAAGTGAGTGGGGTTGTGCTAGCTTGTGGGATTCTGGGTGGGTGGGAGAGCCTCGTACATGGACGAGCCCAGCACAGGGCTGCTAGACCCATCATCCAGGATGCATCCGTGGAACGTGGTGAAGAAGGCAAAGAAGAATTGCGCCATTGTGCTCACGAGTGAGTGTGTGTGCTAGCTTGTCCCTTCACACCACTAAAGTGGACCATGAGGCTGCTGCTGCTGCTGTCTCCCTGCCCTTCCCCTCATCATTCTCTTTCACTTCCCCCCTTCCCCGTGCCCCACTTCTCCTCCGTCCGATCTCCCCCCCAACCCTCTCAGCTCACTCAATGGAGGAAGCAGACGCACTGTGTGACCGGATGGGCATATTCGTGCGGGGGAAGTTCGCTTGTATAGGAAGTGCACAGGAGCTCACAGCACGGTACGGGGGTCGCTTCATCTTCACCCTCACCACTCCCGTGGACTATGAAGCTGCAGCTGCACGGCTGGCACTGTCCCTGTCTGTCAACGCTAGGAGAATATACAACCTATCGGGCACCCAAAAGTTTGAGCTGCCCGTGGAAGATGTGAGTGGGCATGGGTGGGTGGGCCTGCTTGCATCACAATACGTTGCTGCATACGTAGCATTAAGTCTTTGCTACCGTGGGTTCGGTTCCTTGCTTGGGTGTTCTGGGTCGTTCAAACTTTGATCCTGCAGGAGAAAAACATTGCTACGTGAGTTTGGTTCCCAGTGAGTGCTTTCCCTTGCTAGTTCATTCTAGCCATCTGCTTGCCTTTCCTTTCCCAGACCATTCCCGTACCACTATCCATAACCTTCCCCCCTTCCTGAACCCCGGGCATGAATCCTGCCCCTCTGCTGCAGGTGAGGATATCTGACGTTTTTGCAGCAGTGCAAGCAGCCAAGGGGACCATGCCCATACAGGCATGGGGACTAACCAACTCTACCTTAGAGGACGTGTTTATTAAAGTGGCCAAGCAGGCTCATGCTAATGTGGTATAACAACTCACATGCACCTTGCATGTTCATCCCACCATTAATTGCATTCATTCATGTGAGGATGTAGTCTCTCTGAGAATGAGTTCTGAGAATCATTCGGTGGGCCAATGGCTAGTCAATCTGGCAAAAGACAAGCGAGGTAACCACAGCCATTTTCAGGGCTCACTACACTTGTCATTAGAACAGGAACGGTTGTACCTCAAAGGCTTACAGCCTCTTGACGCCACCTACTGTACATGCACATGCATTCCACAGGCTCGCTTACTCGTTTGGTTTGCTGTGGTGAGTCCCGTCCTCAGCAGCACTACATTTAAAACAGGAGTACAAGTTGCAGACGTGCACCTTCCTCCTCCCTGCACTCCACTTCAGCCTCGCACTGATCCTAGACAGACCCTTCGTGGTTGCCTTGCCTTCGTAGTTGAGTCCCTTCTACAGCCCACCCAACCTCAGAGCACTACCTCTGATAAGTACCAGCTTGATACCTCTGAGACGCCCCGGCACTCAATTTCCTCCTGCCAGCACTCCTCTTCAGCCTCGCACTCGCAATCAGCTGCCTCATCTCGTCATCCACCCCCCCTTCTTCTTCCTCCTCTCCTTCTCCCTTCCTTCCTCCCTCTCCCACCCCCTCTGCCCGCTTCCTCCTCCTCTCCTCTTCCCTCCGCCTCTTTTGCTGCTCAATGTACCAAAGCTGTTGCTGCTGGACGTCCGTCAGCCCGGGCCCGTACCTGTCCCTGACCGAGCCTGGCTTGCCGAAGCTGCTGCTCAGGTTCGGCGTCCGAGCCTCGAGGAGAGCCGTGGAGAGCTGCTTGGCCGCGTTCTGAGCCTTGTCTGTCGCGAGGGAAGCGTCCGGGAAGGCGCCTTTGGGAAACTGATAGGACAGCCAGAGATAGAGCGATGCCACCTGACGGGAGAGTGGAAGGGCGTGAGTTGGGGTGGAAAGGGGTGGGTAGGGATGGAAGGGGGTGGGAAGAGTGGGAAGTTGGGAGGGAAATGGGGCAAGACAAGGCGAGCTGAGAGTACGTGTGAGATGGGAAGGGTGAGGTCAGAAGCGCCTCACATCCGAAGCAACAACCACGCGAGCAGTCCTATGAGATGGCACGCACCTGGTGCTTTGTCTCCAATGCCATGAGATCCGAAGCAGCAGTTCTCTGCCACGTGCCGCGCACCCATTGGCCCGCCGAATCTCCCCCCGGCCTCCCCTTGCCCCCCTCCCATCCTCCACTCCTCTCCTCGTCCCCCAATTTCTCCTCCTCGCCCCGTCCACCCGATAAAAGCGGCACGGGCTTGCCCTCGGCATACTGGTGGGCGAATCTCAGGAGGGCGGCCATCACGGTGGGGTCTCTGGCATTGGCTGGTGCTGAGCAGAAGGCAAAGCGATCGCGGAGGGTCAGACCCTTGATCTTGTCCAGCATGGTTGCCACACGCTGGGGAGTAAAAAGAGGGGGTCGGGGGAAATGAGAGCGGGATCGGGGATAGCATGGAATCGGGCTTTAAGCCTTCTTGAGTTGAAGTCGGTGCCACTCGGTGGGGGAGGGAAGGGGAGGCGAAGTCATGGAAGAAAGAATGGCATGGAAAGGAAGCAATGTGTAGCAGAATGCCATACCGCAAAAGCAATGGTTACCCGGATGTTGTCAGTGCGGCAGAGAAAGTAGGTGCCGTCTAGCTTCGATGTCTCCACGAATCTGAAGCACGGGGCACACAGCAGGCAGGCAGTTGGAAGGGCAGGAAAGGAGGCTAAGTGAAACTGCGCAACGTGTGTGTGTGTGTGTGTGTGTGTGTGTGTGTGTGTGTGGTGGCAGCTGTTCAGTGGTGACTGATGTGAAATGTGAAAACGTGAAGCATGGAGTGGGATAGAAAGGAGGAGATGATTCCTTTGCAGAGTCACATCTCAATACAGTCACACACGACTCAGGTCTCACCTGTCAAACAGCCTTGCAAAGGACACGTCAGGCAGCTGACTGGCGAACACCTCCACCTGGCGTGGTGATGAGGGGTGATGGGGGTGACGAACGGTTTTTTTTTTTTAAATAGAAGGCTTTTCACTATATCAGGGATACAGCAAAAGGGCCACAGTCGTAACTGTTGCAAGGAGGGGGGCAATAACACACAGTGAGGGAGCCGCCCCTCAAGAGCATCTACGGCGGCTTGAATCTGGCCCTCCGGTCCGTCCAGATGGAAAGGAACTCATCGCGCCACGTAAGCCTGCTGGCCATCTTCGTGCTGACGTTTTCCAGCGCTGCAACCTCATCTTTGTCCAGAAGCTGCTTAGCCACGCGTCTCTTTTTTATCCACGCCGTCCTTCGCTTGATGCCCTCATACGTCCGTGCATGAAGACAGAAAGCTGTCACGATCCTCCTCATCACTTTCCGGCACTGGAACTTTCGCCCCCTGAAGACCGCGTTGCATCGTTCCACCCAAATCTGGTGGAATGTGATTGCCGACACCGTCAGCTCCGGGAAACCGGAAGCTGTCCCCCCTCGTTGGAATAACAGATCGCCAAGTGTCCTCGCCCTCCGAGCTGGATTGAACCAGCGAATCGCATCTGTCAGGGCCCCCACCACAGGTTGGATGACGCGGCAGGAGAACAGTGCGTGATCCACTGACTCCGCCTCCCCGCAGTGCGGACATCTTGCCCGCTCCCCCAAAAACTTCAGTCGGTCCCCCACTTGAAGATTGAAGCAGTGGGCACGCAGCAGGACGTCCCGCGCCCTTGCAGGAACTACATGTGAGTCCCTGCGCGCAATCACCCGCTTCCAGTCGACCTTCCTCCCCCACAATCGCTCCCACTCTGCTCGGCGAGGGAGCTTGTCTGGCTGTTTGTGTCTCACCCCCAAACCCTCTCTCAGTTGCTTTAGCGGGGCTGCAAGCCTATCCACGCAGAGTTCTGAACTTAGAAGCCTTACGCGCGGCTCGCCCAGCTCCCCAACTACCTCGTCCCCTACTGCTGCCATCGGCGTGACCTCCGACACGGATAGCGCTTTAACTCTCGCCCCTTCCAGCACAAGCCAAGTCTTCCCATCTTCGCACTGGCGCATCCTCATGCAGTGGAGCAGACTGCCAGAGGTTTTATGAATCCACCACAACTGCACTCCTCTCCCCGTCGTCCTCACGACCTTCGTAGCAATCGCAATTTCCTCCGCTGTGAGCGGCTTCAAGACCCGCTCCTTCCAGTCCTCACTCAGCGCCTCCATTATGTCCGCGGCCACCTCTGCCGCTTGCTTGCTGCCCAGGTCCCGCGTCAGACGCTCCGGTGATTTCCAGCTCCTTGTGCCATCCGCCCATTTTAATAGCAGGTCCCCCACCGTAATTTTTGTGTAGTCCTTCGTCGCCCTTCCGTCTCCCGAAAGGGTAGCTCCCGTCTCGCAGGATGCGCCTATTAAACAGCACTCGCTCCTTCTCGACATCCCATCTGTTTCCGGCTTCCAGGTTCCTGATGACCGGCGACGACATTGCTGCGGCTGTAATCGCTTTCCACCTCTCACTCCCCGTACCCCATGCCTTAAGCAGTGCCTCATGCGCAAGGAAGGAGGCGTAACCCAGCGGGAAGTTCGCCGCTTGCTCCGCCAGCAGCCTCCGCTGCGGCATCTCCTCCGTGAGCAGCACCGCCAGCGAATGGAGTGCCTCCGCGTCAAGCCGGTCTTTGAGATTGATTACTCCCAGGCCCCCCTCCTCCCTTCTGAGCTGCATGAGGTCTCCATTCCCGAGAATGAAGCCCGGTTCCGAGCTCGCCCTTCCTCCAGAAACGAAGGCGTGGCACAGCCTCTTCAGCTCCTCCCAGATCGTGTCCGGCGGCGGGTAGATCTGCGCCTGGAACAGCGCGATGGGCATGACGTACGCATTAACTACCGTCACCCTCGCCGTGGTGGTGAGAAACTTCGCTTCCCATTTTTTCAGCTCCGCTTCCATTCTGTTTAGCGCCTTCTTCCATGACGGCTTTGCTTCTCCTCCCGGCGTGATCCAGACCCCCAGCAGGCGCTCTGGCTCATCTCTCAACGCCCACTTGAAGGCCCCGGTCGCAGGCGGCGGTTCGTCCCGCTGCCTCCCCAGCGGCAGCACCACCGACTTGTCCCAGTTGACCGCCAGTCCTGACCTCAGCTCGAAGTCTTTGAGCAGAATCTCGGCTTCTCCAAGCTGCGAGCGGTCCCTCAGCAGCAGGGTGGTGTCGTCGGCATACCCCAGGTAGGTTAGCTTCCCAGCGCCTTTGATATTAATGCCTAAACACCTCCTCCTTGCTTCTTGGCAGAAGGGCTCCACCGCGCAGAGGAACAAGTATGGCGCGAGCGGACAGCCCTGCCTCACACCAGTCTGAACCGGGACCTCCTCTCCCAGCCACCCGTCGTTACAAATGCGTGTCGCTGCACCTTTGTGTAGACTTTCCACCCACGTCACGTAAGCCTCCGGGAAGCCCATTTTCCGCAGCACGTCGAACATATATCCACGCGCCACGGAGTCGAAGGCCTTGCGGAAGTCTACCAGGAGCATGAGCCAGTCCTCCTGCCCGGCATTAGCGGCGTCAATCACATCTGCCGCAGCCGATACTGCTCCAGCGATGCTCCTACCAGGCAAGAAACCAAACTGCCCAGCCGATACCACTCGCTCCAGCTTGCCTTTCACCCGATTCGCCAACACCTTCGCGATAAGCTTGTACACTGTGCTCAGAAGAGTGATTGGGCGGTAGTTTTGGAGGTCGTCTTTTGCGCCCTTCTTGTGAAGAAGCATCGTCACCGCCGTTGAAAATTCGCTCGAGAGCGACCCTGTCCGCTCAAACTCTTTCAGGAACTGCATCATCTGCCCCCCCAGCAGGTCCCACTGTGATTCCCAGAGCTCCTTCAGAAGACCGTCTCTCCCTGGAGTTTTGCCCGGCGCCATCTCCGCCAGCGCACGCTTGACCTCCGCTTCCTGCCACGGCGCACTGAGCGCCTCTGCATCCTCCTGTGAGAAGCTCCTGTCCACCGACCAGTCCAGATGCGCATCCGCGCCAGCCGCAAACAGTCTCTTGTAAAACTCCGACGCTGCCTTAAGTGACTCCTTAGCCCCCTCGTGCCGGGCACCCTGGTAATTCACCTCCACCAGCCGCGTCCTCGCTTTCCGCGCTTTAATCTTGGCTGAGAAAAAGCCCGTGGGGGCCTCACCATTCATCTCTACTTTAATTCCCGCCTGCTCCTGCAGCTTACAGCGCCTCCCGTCCAGGTACACTTTGAGTTTGGCTTCACACTTCGCCAACCGCGCCTTCGCCCGCAAGCACCGAGGCTTGCTCATCACACGCTGCCTCAGCTCCCCAACTTCCCGCTCGAGGTGCGCCGTTGTGGCTGCCACACGCTTCCGCTCCTCTACGGTATAGGCCTTAAGACCTACTGTTAGTGAGGCTGTTAATGACTCCAGACCTCCTCCTCTCTCTGCATTCCTCCTTACTATCTGCTCCACCCGTCTCTGTATGCCAGGGCGTGGAACCTGCGACGCCGGAAGCCTCCAGAGCCCTGGACCGGATTCCCCGTCCCCCCCGGCGCTGAGCTGCAGGTGCACCGCGGACCAATGGTCCGTGAACCGCTTGACCAAGCCCACATGCCGCACCTCATGGACTTGGTGAAGCAACGCCTGCGAAAGAAGAATCCTGTCAATCCTGGTGCTCTCCTGTACCGCCGCTGCGTAGAAGGTGTATTCCCGCAGGCAGGGATGGAGCGCCCTAAAAGCATCACGGACGTCAAAACTGCTGCATATGGTCATTAACCTGTCGTTCTCTCCCCTCGAGCCCAGGCCTGACGTCTTGTCCAGCGCTGGGTCCTCAATGATGTTCAGATCCCCCGCCAACAGGAGTTGGTTCCCAGCAGGTATCGCGGTGAGAAACGGCTGGAGCACGTCGCGGAAGAAAGGGGCTCGCGCCGTTGGACTCGCCGGAAAGTAAGCTGCTACAACTGTTACCATTACCCCACGCCATGACATGGTCACTCGGGCTAGGCGGCCTGAGGCATCTCTGACCGCGTCCGTGCAGGACACCTCATTGTTGCGTAAGACAATCGCAACTCCCCCGGCCCTTGCCGTAGGCGTCGTTGCTATTACTGTATCAGCCTGAAGATGGTTCCAGAATCCGTGATTCTCAGCAATCCTCGTGTCTGCTAGAATGGCTACGTGTGCTGCGTCTCTTATCCAGTTCTGAGCGTCTTGCTGCTTCTGTGGACAGCCAAGACCGTTGACGTTCAGGACGCTGAAGGTGAGGGTGGCGTGTTTACCCATTGGGAACTTGTGTTAGGCCCCTTAGCATCCACGGGCCGGATGTGAGTGTGCTGCTGCGGTTGTTAAGTTCTGCTTTTATACTCCAGACAGGTACAGACACATCGTTAGCGCATACAGTCCTACACCACGCTGCAGAATCTCTTCTCTTAACTCCATGCTCCTGATTCACTTCCCCTTCGCCTTCTCCGCTCGAATCCCATACAGCTTCTTCGCCGCCTGCAAGGCCTGCTTCGCCTTGGTCGCACGGGTCGCAACACCCGCCGTACCCAGCACCGCGCCGTGGCTGAAGGAGCTGATGTGAGCCGCAGCCTGAGCGAAGGTATCCCCGTGCGCACGTTCGCAGCACTCCTGGACACACAGCCATTCCTCCACGTTGGCACCAGTCGAGATAAGGACCAGCGCCGGGTCCCGGAGAAGCTTCCTCACCACCCCTGCCGACAGAAGGGAGGCCGCTGCAGAAGGCACCCATCACACCACCATCAGTCAGTAAGGAATGAAGAACCATGCACTGGTAAGAGCTCCACAGTACGATCCCCCCCCTATTACCGTTAATCGAATGGACCCTGCCTAAGGACAAGTTCCAGTTGCTGATGTTGTTGCGACGCTCATGCACATACTCATCATGCAACTTATCCATATGCGGTCCCTGACAGAAGCAGCAGGACAGCGATGGATAATGCACGAGGTATGACGCATCACTGAGCGGGTCCTCCACCACGTGGCGCCAGCGGTACTTGTCCCCTGGATGCGGGACCACCAAGCCACGGATCTTATCCGTGTCCAAGCCCGAAACAGGGTCAACCACACGGTGGAAACCCGCGCCTTGCTGGAACGCCGGACGACCGCGCTTCTGCAGCTTTGCCACCGCCAGCGATTCGTAAACAATGAGCGGCGTAATCTCCGCCGGAACTCCTTTGAGCAAAACTTCCACCCCTTCCGGCAGGTCAGTCTTCGCTTTCACAAAGGCGCGGTTGACTGGGTGCAGCCAGCCGAAATGGTGCTTCGTGGTCCCCACAACATGCTCCACCCGATGCTGACGCACCACCTCCGCATCCGCAGCTGTCGCGAGCGTGACCTGCAGACGGCTGAAGTGAACCTTGGACAGGTAAGTCAGAAGCAACTCTTGAAACGCGATCTCGTCCAGAGCATTGTCCGACAGCTTCTTTCGCAGGAAAACCAGAAGAGCCTTCACCGAAGGCTTCACCGCAGGCATCTCCTTCGCCAGGGCAAACGGGATCAGGAGCGTCAGCGTGACGCGCGCCTTAGCCGCCAGCGCACCCTTAGCGTGCACATCAATGCCTTCATCCGAATCATCGCTCAGGTAACCGTCGTCGTCATCTTCGTCATCCTCATCCCCCCCTGCAGGAGCGTACGCGGACGGAACTGCAGGCGAAGGCGCAACCGGTTCTGGGACGGCCGATGCAGGAGCCGGCGGAACCACCGGAGCGACCTGGCCTTCAGCGGTTGGTGGAGAAGTGGAGGTCCCGACACCCGCCTCCACGCCAGCAGACTGCTCCAGCGATGGGACATTCTGACCTTCCGGCGTCGTCATGGTAGCAGCAGCTTTCGTCGCCCTGGTCAAGATCGTCATGCTTGGACTTAAAGAGAGGAGAGCGAGGTGATCGCTGACTGCTGAACCATGGCAGGCAGGCATTATATAGATTTCCAGCTTCTTCCTTGTCTTCCATTCCCATGGTATTGCCTGGACCTGATGGCACCAAGGGAATCCTTGATCTTGAACACGAGCTCGACATCTGTCGAGGTAGGATTGTTGCTGGCTAGGATTAGGCAGCCACTTCAGCACAGACCCGCTCGGTAGTTGGCAGCGCACACAATGGAGACCCCAAGACTGAAGGAAAACCGTAGGAAACAGATGTAATCCGTGTGGAGAACTCCTAAGCGACTGCCTGGCAGAACCTAGATATGACCATGACCATTTGCCTGGAACTCGATAAGCATGAAGAATACCTGCCTGATGGGTACAATTTCTATGTCTGCTTATAGAAGAACACAAGCTGCATCGGATGGAGTAGTCTATGGTAAAAATAGGAACTGTTTGCCTAGGCATTGCTCGCCTCGAAGCGCGCGACAGGATCCATGGCGGCCTTATCATCATGCCGCTATGGATAGGATGGCACTATGCCGCTATGACAGCCATAGTTTTGCGATCAGACCGGGGTGACGAGCGGTATCGTAGGGGTGGTGAGGGGTGATGAGGGGTTTCACAGGGGTGATGAGGGGTGCGAGGGGGTTATGAGGGGCAATGGAATATGTTGACGGGTAAGAGGAGAGAGAGAGCAGTGGCATGTGCGTTGGGTGAAGGCATGTCACCCAAATATGCCTCGTCCACCCAATGCATGTTCCCCAGCGGCATGCCCACTGGCAAACCAGCACAAGCAGGCGGGGGAGCAAGCAAAGCACACACGGCACCTGTTAGAAGAAGGGGAAGAGGCCAGCAGCCGTGGTGGTCTCTCAACACGGTCCTGCAGAGCAGCGATGAGCAGTGGCATGTCGGCCGGGTCCAGGCACGTCACCACTCCCCACCACTTAACACCACAAACACACACAGGATGAACATCCACCTAGAAACCACACAGCCTAAGCCATACCTGTTCAAAGAGAGGAAAAAGGCCAGCAGCCGTGGTGGGCTCGACTGGCTCCTGCAGAGCAGCGATGAGCAACGGCATGTCGGTGGGGTCCAGGCATGTCACCACCCCCTCCTCGTACCGGCTTCCCCTCCTGCCCGCCCTCCCGGCGATCTGCTTCACCTGCGATGGTGTGGAACCAAATGGAGGGGGGAGGAGAGAGATGGAGGGGTGAACGAGACCGTGAGGTGAGGAAAGTTAGTGTCCAGGCACGTCACCACCCCCTCCTTGTATCGGCTTCCCCTCCTGCCCGCCCTCCCCGCGATCTGCTTAACCTGTTATTTGGGGGCAAAGGACGGGAGTGGTGGGGAAAGAGATGGAGGGAGAGACGGAGGGGAGAGAAACTGAGGGGAGAGAATCTGAGGGGAGGGGAACTGAGGGGAGAGAGACTGAGGGGAGAGAAACTGATGGGAGAGAAACTGATGGGAGAGAGACTGATGGGAGAGAAACTGATGGGAGAGAAACTGATGGGAGAGAAACTGATGGGAGAGAAACTGATGGGAGAGAAACTGATGGGAGAGAAACTGATGGGAGAGAATTTGTGCATCTGACGCCACGAGGGGAAGTCGCTCTCCTCCTCGTTGAACAGCCTCGCCTGGTGCCTAACGAGCACTGTGCCACCAATGGCGTATGACAGGAAAAATACCCGTGCGTACCATGGGGGACGGGATGACAATTTTCTCCTCCCCGTTGAACTTGCGAAGCGTGCTGAACACGACCCTGCGAGTCGACAGGTTAAGGCCCATTCCAATGGCATCTGACGCCACGAGCACACAGAAGTCGCTCTCCTCCTCGTTGAACAGCCTCGCCTGCTGCCTGACGAACACTGTGCTGACCACCCATATGGGCACCCGTGCGTACCATGGGCGACGGGATGATGATCTTCTCCTCCCCATTGAACTTGTGAAGCGTGCTGAAGACAACCCTCCGAATGGACAGGTTGAGCCCCATTCCGATAGCGTCTGAAGCTACCAACACACGGAAGTCACTCTCCTCCTCGTTGAACAGCCTCGCCTGCTGCCTCCTGGTTTCTGGCGGCAGTGCCCCGTACACCACACAGCACCGGTGCTTTGTGGTCATCTCCACCGCTCGCTGGATGGGGGGAGAACATGGACAAACAGAGGAGGAGATGAGGCACGTGCAAGGAACATGGGGGGAGGGGAGGATGCGTGTGTGGGAAGTGTCTCTGGCGGCAGTGCCCCGTACACCACACAGCACCGGTGCTTTGTGGTCATCTCCACTGCCCTCTGGTGGAAACATGTGTGAGGGAAGAAAGGCACATGTGGGTGGGGTACGGAAAGTTATATGCGCTTGAAGACAGTGAGCTGAAACACCCGAAAGCTGATGCACAAAGAAGCATCGTACACAAGGCACACGGTAGGGCAGACAACAGCAGAGCAGAGCAAGGCACAGCATGTGTGCTGCTCAGAGCAGACCACATGGAACGCACGCACCAGAGCAGAGCACGGCTTTTGAGGCGCCTCAAATGGCTGCTCAGAGCAGACCACATGGAACGCACGCACCAAAGCAGAGCACGGCTTTTGAGGCGCCTCATAAGGAGAGCAGAGCAGAGCACGGCCCAGGCGAGATCCAGACATAGCTCAGTGAGCTGCGTGCGTGCAGTAGGCTTAAAGAAAAGGAAAAACAGCAGTAGATTTCCGCTCTGTGTACAACTAAGTGCTCAAAACGATCTCAAAACCCAAAACGATCTCAGAACCCAGCATGGAGAGCAGAGCAGACCACGGCCCAGCATGGAGGTGTATTTTGAAGCGCTTCAAAATTCCCAGCATGAAACGCAACGCACCTTGATTTCGAATATCTCTCGCCGCGAGAACGCCACAATGCAGTCACCAGGTGATACCCGCCCCAGATCACCCAGCAAGCTCGTCTGGTAAGGGGTGGGGAGGAGGGCGCAGCGCGCAGCAGCAGCAGGCAGACAGGTCACAGAAGACGAAAAGGACAGATTGAAATACCCAATGACCAACAGGTGCACCCACACCCAAAGACCAGCAAGTGCACCTACATCCGATGACCCCCGACCCAGATAACGGCTCCCTCTGCTGGCTCATCTGGTGAGGAACAGCAGCCCACCCTCCCACCCACCCACCCACAGGGAAACCGGGATACCGGGATAACGGGATACCGGGATACCGGGAAACCGGGAAACCGGGATACCGGGAAACCGGGAAACGGGAAACCAGGAAACGGGGAAACGGGGAAACCGGGAAACGGGATACCGGGAAACCGGGATACCGGGAAACCGGGAAACGGGAAACCGGGAAACGGGGAAACCGGGAAACGGGGAAACCGGGATACCGGGATACCGGGAAACCGGGAAACCGGGAAACCGGGAAACCGGGATACCGAGAAACCGGGAAACCGGGAAACCGGGATACCGGATACCGGGATACCGGGATACCGGGATACCGGGATACCGGGATACCGGGATACCGGGATACCGGGATACCGGGAAACCGGGAAACCGGGATACCGGGATACCGGGAAACCGGGAAGCCGGGAAGCCGGGAAGCCGGGAAGCCGGGAAGCCGGGAAGCCGGGAAGCCGGGAAGCCGGGAAGCCGGGAAGCCGGGAAGCCGGGAAGCCGGGAAGCCGGGAAGCCGGGAAGCCGGGAAGCCGGGAAGCCGGGAAGCCGGGAAGCCGGGAAGCCGGGATACCGGGATACCGGGATACCGGGATACCGGGATACCGGGATACCGGGATACCGGGAAACCGGGAAACCGAGATACCGGGATACCGGGAAACCGGGAAACCGAGATACCGGGATACCGGGAAACCGGGAAACCGGGAAACCGGGAAACCGGGAAACCGGGATACCGGGATACCGGGATACCGGGATACCGGGATACCGGGATACCGGGATACCGGGATACCGGGAAACCGGGAAACCGGGATACCGGGATACCGGGAAACCGGGAAACCGGGAAACCGGGATACCGGGATACCGGGATACCGGGAAACCGGGAAACCGGGAAACCGGGAAACCGGGATACCGGGAAACCGGGAAACCGGGATACCGGGATACCGGGATACCGGGATACCGGGATACCGGGAAACCGGGATACCGGGATACCGGGATACCGGGATACCGGGATAACGGGATACCGGGAAACCGGGAAACCGGGAAACCGGGAAACCGGGAAACCGGGATACCGGGATACCGGGAAACCGGGATACCGGGATACCGGGAAACCGGGAAACCGGGAAACCGGGATACCGGGATACCGGGATACCGGGAAACCGGGATACGGGTATACCGGGAAACCGGGAAACCGGGATACCGGGAAACCGGGAAACCGGGATACCGGGATACCCGGGATACCGGGAAACCGGGAAACCGGGAAACCGGGATACCGGGAAACCGGGAAACCGGGATACCGGGATACCGGGATACCGGGATACCGGGATACCGGGATACCGGGAAACCGGGAAACCGGGAAACCGGGAAACCGGGAAACCGGGAAACCGGGAAACCGGGAAACCGGGATACCGGGATACCGGGATACCGGGATACCGGGATACCGGGATACCGGGATACCGGGATACCGGGATACCGGGATAACGGGATAACGGGATACCGGGATACCGGGATACCGGGAAACCGGGAATCCGGGAATCCGGGATACCGGGAAACCGGGAATCCGGGATACCGGGATACCGGGAAACCGGGAAACCGGGATACCGGGATACCGGGAAACCGGGAAACCGGGAAACCGGGATACCGGGATACCGGGAAACCGGGATACCGGGATACCGGGAAACCGGGATACCGGGAAACCGGGAAACGGGATACCGGGAAACCGGGAAACCGGGAAACCGGGAAACGGGAAACCGGGAAACCGGGAAACCGGGAAACCGGGATACCGGGATACCGGGAAACCGGGAAACCGGGAAACCGGGAAACCGGGAAACCGGGAAACCGGGATACCGGGAAACCGGGATACCGGGATACCGGATACCGGGATACCGGGATACCGGGATACCGGGATACCGGGATAACGGGATACCGGGAAACCGGGAAACCGGGAAACCGGGAAACCGGGATACCGGGATACCGGGATACCGGGAAACCGGGAAACCGGGAAACCGGGATACCGGGAAGCCGGGAAGCCGGGAAGCCGGGAAGCCGGGAAGCCGGGAAGCCGGGAAGCCGGGATACCGGGATACCGGGATACGGGATACCGGGATACCGGGAAACCGGGAAACCGGGATACCGGGATACCGGGAAACCGGGAAACCGGGAAACCGGGATACCGGGATACCGGGATACCGGGAAACCGGGAAACCGGGATACCGGGATACCGGGATCCCGGGAAGCCGGGATACCGGGAAACCGGGAAACCGGGATACGGGGAAACCGGGATACTGGGATACCGGGATACCGGGATACCGGGAAACCGGGAAACCGGGATACCGGGATACCGGGAAAACGGGAAACCGGGAAACCGGGATACCGGGATACCGGGATACCGGGAAACCGGGAAACCGGGATACCGGGATACCGGGAAACCGGGATACCGGGATACCGGGAAACCGGGATACCGGGATGCCGGGAAACCGGGATACCGGGATGCCGGGAAACCGGGATACCGGGATACCCGGGATACCGGGAAACCGGGAAACCGGGAAACCGGGATACCGGGATACCGGGAAACCGGGATACCGGGATACCGGGATACCGGGATACCGGGATACCGGGAAACCGGGAAACCGGGAAACCGGGATACCGGGAAACCGGGAAACCGGGAAACCGGGAAACCGGGATACCGGGAAACCGGGATACCGGGAAACCGGGAAACCGGGATACCGGGAAACCGGGAAACCGGGAAACCGGGAACCCGGAAACCGGGTTACCGGGATACCGGGAAACCGGGATACCGGGAAACCGGGAAACGGGGAAACCGGGAAACCGGGATACCGGGAAACCGGGAAACCGGGAAACCGGGATACCGGGATACCGGGATACCGGGATACCGGGATACCGGGAAACCGGGATACCGGGAAATCGGGAAACCGGGAAACCGGGATACCGGGATACCGGGAAACCGGGATACCGGGATACCCGGGATACCGGGAAACCGGGAAACCGGGAAACCGGGATACCGGGATACCGGGAAACCGGGATACCCGGATACCGGGATACCCGGATACCGGGATACCGGGAAACCGGGAAACCGGGAAACCGGGATACCGGGAAACCGGGAAACCGGGAAACCGGGAAACCGGGAAACCGGGATACCGGGAAACCGGGATACCGGGAAACCGGGAAACCGGGATACCGGGAAACCGGGAAACCGGGAAACCGGGTAACCGGGAACCCGGAACCCGGGTTACCGGGATACCGGGAAACCGGGATACCGGGAAACCGGGAAACCGGGAAACCGGGAAACCGGGATACCGGGAAACCGGGAAACCGGGATACCGGGATACCGGGATACCGGGATACCGGGAAACCGGGATACCGGTATACCGGGAAACCGGGAAACCGGGATACCGGGATACCGGGATACCGGGAAACCGGGATACCGGGATACCCGGGATACCGGGAAACCGGGAAACCGGGATACCGGGATACCAAGATACCGGGAAACCGGGATACCGGGATACCGGGATACCGGGATACCGGGATACCGGGAAACCGGGAAACCGGGAAACCGGGATACCGGGAAACCGGGAAACCGGGAAACCGGGAAACCGGGAAACCGGGAAACCGGGAAACCGGGAAACCGGGATACCGGGATACTGGGAAACCGGGAAACCGGGATACCGGGAAACCGGGAAACCGGGAAACCGGGAACCCGGAAACCGGGTTACCGGGATACCGGGAAACCGGGATACCGGGAAACCGGGAAACCGGGAAACCGGGAAACCGGGAAACCGGGATGCCGGGATACTGGGATACCGGGTGACCGGGTAACCGGGAAACCGAGATACCGGGAAACCGGGAAATTGGGATACCGAGAAACGGGGAAACCGGGAAACCGGGAAACTGGGAAACCGGGAAACCGGGATACCGGGATACCGGGAAACCGGGAAACGGGGAAACCGAGATACCGGGAAACCGGGATACCGGGAAACCGGGATACCGGGAAACCAGGGACACCGGGAAACCGGGAACCCGGGAAACCGGGAAACCGGGAATCCGGGAAACCGGGAAACCGGGAAACCGGGATACCGGGAAATCGGGAAACCGGGAAACCGGGATACCAGGATACCGCCATACCGGGAAACCGGGAAACCGGGGAAACCGGGATACCGAGAAACCGGGATACCGGGAAACCGGGAAACCGGGATACCAAGATACCGGGAAACCGGGATACCGGGATACCGGGATACCGGGGAAACCGGGAAAACCGGGAAACCGGGAAACCGAGATACCGGGATACGGTGAAACCCGGAAACCGGGAAACCGGGATACCGGGAAACCGGGATACCGAGATACCGGGATACCGAGATACCGGGATACGGGAATACCGGGAAACAAACCGGGAAACCAGGAAGCCGGGAAACCGGGAAACTGAGAAACCAGGACCGGGAAACCGGGAAACAAGGAAACCGGGAAGCAAACCGGGAAACAAACCTACCCACCAGCCCACCCACCCACCCACCCACTCACCCACCCACACGCCTTTATAAGCGCCTCAAAAGTTGCACCGCAGAACCCGTCTGGTGGGGGACAGCAAATAAACTAGCAATCCAGTTCTAAGTTGACTCAGGAACTAGCACCAGCCCACCCACACACATGACTGATCAGCTAGACAGAAAGGAAGAAAGAGCTACCTGGTCCACTGTGAGCGGTGCAAAGCGGTGGTAATGGTGGCATTCGAAGGCGTCCCCAGTGGCGTCACAGATGGCTCGCAAGAGGGGCAGCACGGAGGGGTCGCCACACACGTGCACCTCCGCTGCTTGCACTCCCAGGAGGGCCCTGGTCCACGCCCATCCGCGGTAATCGTCACTGATCATCTGAGACACACGGGGGGGAAGGGGGGTTTGGGGGGGTGGGGTGTGTCAGTCAGGCAGAATGGAGGGGTCGCCACACACGTGCACCGCCACTGCTTGCACTCCCAGGAGGGCCCTTGTATGTTTTTTGAGAATTCTCAAAAAACATGTCCACGCCCACCCTCGATAATCGTCGCTGATCATCTGAGACACATGTGGTGGCGGGGGGAAAGAGGGGGTGGGTGTCAAGGCAGCACGGAGGGGTCGCCACACGCGTACACCTCTGCTGCTTGCACTCCCAGCAGCGCCCTCGTCCACGCCCACCCTCTGTAGTCATCCCTTATCATCTGGGAGCGAGGGAGGGGTGGGGTTTGGTAATACGAGAGGAGAGGGGACGGGGAAAAGGGGGGTCAGGTCAGGGTGAAGCGAACCGTACCTACTCCCCCACCTTTCAGAGCAGCACGGAGGGGTAACGCTCATTCACAAAGAAAGAACCCACTCACACATGAATGAAGGAAACACACCCACGCACACAGACAGAAAAACCATGAGTACACTTTTGAGAATTCTCAAAACCGACGCACACAGACAGAAAAACCACAAGTACATGAATCTAGGGATGAGCAAAGGGCGAACACGGACATGTTCGTGTTCGCCCCTTCTCGAACACGTCCTTTTGCCGAACCGAACAGTGTTCGGTTCGGCGAACAGTTTAGCCAAAAACAGGTGTTCGCTGTTCGCCTGTGGAGGCGTGTTCGGGCGAACCTCGAACACGTTCGTGTTCGACACGGGGCGTTTTGCAGCAGCGCCACGAACACGAACGTGTTCGGGCGAACATCGAACACGTTCGGGCGAACGATTTAAGCTGAAAAACAAAACCTGTTCGGTTCGCCTCGAACACGTTCGAGGCGAACCGAACAGGTGTTCGCCACCTTGCTCAAGCCTACATGAATCTCATCAATCACAGCCACGACCACAGGCATGAAAAAGGTTGCTCTATCAAAATCAAGCCAAACGGCTAAAAAAATCAATGCATGGAAACTTGTGAGTCCCTTGGCTGCTCTATCAAGATCAAGCCAAACGGCTAAACAAACACCAGATACCGGATCGCACATTCCAAACATAGAAACGCGAGATGCTAAGTACCTGAATCTCGTCAATGGCCGCCACGTCCACAGGGGTAGAAAGGTTTGCCATCTCGATGGTGCATGCCGTGTGGTGCGCGAATGGCATCTCCTGTTGGGAACACCACACACCACTGATTCCCTGATTGGTGAGGCCCCTTGTGTGCAGAAGGTGCGTACCTGAATCTCGTCAACGACTGCCACGTCGACAGGGGTGGAGAGGTTGGCCATCTCAATGGTGCAGGCGGTGTGGTGGGCGAAGGGCATCTCCTTCCTCTCCTGCCCCGTCACCAGATTGCAATACACCCCGTCCGCGTTCACCCGGTCAAACACCTGAAGGGAGTGGGGACGGGGGAGTGGGGAGTGGGGGTTGTGGCGGGTGTTTTGGGTGTGATAAGGTTTGACTAGCACGTCACCAGATTGCAGTACATTCCGTCTGCATTGACCCGGTCAAACACCTGAGGGTGGGGGATAGGGAGGACGAGGGATGGCTCAAGCCTCAAGTCTGATGAACACAGAAGCTCATGTCTCCAGATCCGCTCTCCCAACCGCCACCATACCTCTCTTCATCCATCCATACCTCCATCCACTCCACCACACCTCCCTCCACCCCTCCATACCTCCATCGCCAGCAGCCTGAGCGGCCCACAGTAAGTGCCGGAGGAAGCTTCCTTGAACCTGACCAGCGCTCGGTGCGTCTTGCCACTGTTGGTGGGGCCCATGTGGTATACCACCTTGCGTGGCATGGCACGTGCTTGGGGATACCTGATGGGAGAAGCGAGGGAGGGGAGGAATGAAGGGATGAGGCAATGCTGTTGGTGGGGCCCATGTGGTATACCACCTTGCGCGGCATAGCCCTCGCCTGGGGATACCTGATGGGAGATGTGGTGGGGAGGAATGAAGGGATGGAGGCAGGATGGCAGCGCTGTTGGTGGCGCTCATGTGGTATACCACATTGCCACATAACACACCACACCACGCTGCACAACACTGCACCACACTACACCACAACCCACCCACCCCACCACACAATATTGCGCATCACGACATACCACACGTGCTGCTTGGTCCCTGTAGCTCCGAATCTTCTCCAGGACCGGGTATTCCCCAAAGAAGAACTCCGCAAAGAGCGGAAACAGGAACTCATCAGCATCCCTGCCCGCGCCCATGTGTGCGAGCGCGGAGGCGAGCTCGGGGCAAGAGCATACAAGACTGCACCAGACCACACCGCACCACACCACACGACACCAAACTACACCAAACTCCACCACACCGCACCACATCGCACCGCAGCAGACCACACCACTCCACATACCACACATGTGGCTTGGTCATGTCTGCCGAGTTCACCAGATCCCGGTAGCTCCGAATCTCCTCCGGGAATTCCCCAAAGCAGAACTCCGCAAGAAAATAAGAAACGGAACACCACTCCACCATGCTGCATCGCATCGCACCACGACGTACCAGACATGCGGCTTGGTCATATCAGCAGAGTTCACCAAGTCCCGGTAATTCCGAATCTCCTCCGGGAACTCCCCGAAGCAAAACTCCGCAAAGAGCGGAAACAGAAACTCGTCCGCGTCCCTCCCCGCGCCCATGTGCGCGAGCGCAGAGGCAAGCTCTGGGCGGCAGCAGCGCAGCACGAAGCGGCGAAACTTGGAGGCAGCTGTGGGGAAGAAGCGCGATGGGATGTAGATGGCTAGTGCTTGATCCGCTGCCCACCTGTGCACAACAAGAAAGTGGGAAAGGGAGGGGAATTAGAGGAAAAGCATGCGATGCGGCGGTTGTGCGGAAAGAAGAGCGAAGGGATGTAACTGGCATGTTTCCAGTCACAAATCTCCATACCCGCGCGTGGCGAAGTGTTTCAGCGCGTTGTTCACACGCTCCCTGTCGTTCTTGCTCAGAGGGGGAGGCTTGGGCGCCGTCCCTTCATCCACGGCCCTCATTATAGTCACCTCCGCTTCCGCGTCCATCTCCCATGAGTCCTCCTCGTCCTCGCCCTGCCACACCTGCTTCTCCCCCGCTATACTCACATCGCCGGCCAGGACCGGCTCTTCCAGGACCAGCTTCGCCCCCTCTATAGTCACATCGCTGCTCCCGTTTGTGTCACTATCCGCGGATACCGTTACTTCGCTAACAGCCGCAGTGCTACCCCCACCACCGCCGCTGCCCCCACAGCCGTTGCTACTCTTCCCGCCAGCGCGCTTCTTCCTGCCCCGCGTGATGCTACTGCTCTCACCGTTGCTTCTGCCGTTGGTGCCGCTGCTGCTGTCCGCATTGTCACCCCCACGGGCAGTGTCACTACTGATGCTGTCACTACTGCTGCTGTTGGCGCCGCCGCTAGCACTGCTGCTGGCATCGCTGCTGGCGCTACTAGTTAATCTCTTCCTCGGTCTCCCCCTCTTAGCCACTGGCACGCTATCTTCCGGGCTGGAACCCGGCGAATCCGGCGACGACACATCAGCGGAGGGGAGATCCCCAGGTTTAGGGTTCGATCCATAGTGAACGGGTCCTGATGCATCGGATCGGTCGCTTGCTTCGCCAAACGAGCGAGACTGTAACGAGGTGGAGGTGGAATAGGCACCTACGGGTGACGCAGAATCGGGGAAGACTCTAAACGGGAGAGGAGATTCCGTAGGAGATCGAAAAATCGAGGAGCTGCCAGATCCTGATTTCAGATCGACGCTGAAAGGCAGGATCCTCGTGACTGTGCTGAGAGGCTGATCAGGAAAACGGTGACCTTGTGCCTGACGAGTGTTCAGAGAGTGACTGTACGCGGCGTGACTGTGTTCGGAGTGATTGTATGACGAAGAAGGAGTGCCCGGTTCGAGGAGAGACGAGCATCTCCTGAAATAGCTCGGCTGCTCCTGCAGTGGTGTAGTCGACGGAAGAGCAGGTGAGTTCCCGGACACGTGGAACTGATTAACGTTAACTGAGACGTCAGGAATAACGGTGCTATTGGCCGATCTCTTTTTCGCTACGGCTCGACGAGACGAGGCCCGCCGTACTCCGCTAATGACCAGCCTGACAGAATGAGGCGCCATGGCGCGGGGTTCGACACGAACACGATTTTGAACCTTGGAAACTCCTGCGGATATATGAAGTTCGTATTCACAATATGGGCCTCTCCATTACTGGTAAACAAACCCAGCTCATTACGTGACTAATCGTGATGCTGGATTCTATGGGAGTTTAGTGCTTCTTATTTTTTTTTTTATGATGATTGCAAGTATACACCGAAAGGCAAGCGTACACTAGCAGGAGTGCTTCTTAAAGTTGTACACTCCTTTACTACGGATAAGCTTGTGAGGAAGAAAGTGTTTCCTGCTTTCGCGAGCACCTTCCACAATTGAGTCACCCGCATCCTCGCTACCAGCGACTCACCGACTAAAAGCCGCTGCACGAAGCAATCCTCGAGGAAACCACACCTCGAACATGCGCTGGTCACAGCTGGACAGCTCGTGTGTGCAACCAGCGCCACGAAAAGCCAATCCCTTCTGCCACGTACGCAGCTTTCAGCAATCCAACCGACCATCTGCTTTGGGGATGAAATCGCAACCAGGGACTTGTTGATGTGACCTGGCAGAGATTTCTCTTCGGCCATTAGTTCTAACCCACGTAAATTGTCAAGGCTGCTGAGCAGCTCTGGAGGGAGGCTCGGCATCTCGTACCTGCACGTGCTCCATGCGTGGTGCCCGTGCTGTTTGTCAGACCTGTCATCGTCTCGTGCGTGTCTCGTTTCTCCTCTCGCTGCACATATCACCACCCCCCGCCATCCAATTTTCATTTCTTCCAATTTTCCTAATTTCGCCTCTAGCTCTTTTCTTCAACTCCTCCTCGCAACAATCCTTCTCTCGTTTGTTGCCCCTTCGCCTCTTCCTTCGGCCTCGTGCTTGACACACTCTACACTCTCCAATCTGCGGCATCCTCGCGAAGGCTCAGCTTGAAAACATGACAGGCGAAAATCACTCGGCTAACGCCACAAAAGACAGCAATCAACCTCCCAGCAGTCAGAGCGCCAGCCCTCCAAGAGAGAACTCCCTTTTGACGAACGAGGCTATAACTGTACGCGTATCCGAGTCCACACCCGACCATGAGTGCGGCCACGTGCACCTCTCGCACCGCGCTCCATGGCTTCGCGCCGCTCTTCTCGGCGCCAACGACGGGCTCGTGTCGGTCGCGTCGCTTATGGTCGGCGTCGGCGCCGTCGATAGTAGCCAGAT